ATTAAAATTCTTGTTTTTTTTTGTTTTGTGGGAAATTGGTTCGTGTACAAATATGGTGATGACAAGCTATTAGTTGCTGGAGAAGTTCATTTTGATCTTAGGTACCTCAGAACCTGATTACTGCAGAAAAAAATGAACTTTGGTTTTCCATTTTCATCCAATATACCTTGCTATATATTTGTTATTTATTTATTGCTCTAGTAGTTTTAATAAAAGTTGAGCTGAACATGTGATGATTAAAAAGGTTGTGTCATTTGAATGAATATTGTAAAGTGCAAACTATGTTTAGAAAAGGAGTATTAAGTAATTTTGGAGCTGTGGAGGAATTTGGTTTAGAGAAGATTATTTGATATCAATATCATATTGAGCCATCTCCAATTATTTACCGAGGCACAAGGTTAATTCTTAATTCTGTTGAATAAACCAGGAACAAATTCTGCCCGCCAAAGTTATGTATATTCAGTCGGAAGTTGTATGGCAAAATTATTATGCTGATTTCAGCTTGACTACACCTTTGTATTTGTTAAATAATAGAATTAAGAAAGGAGTATTTATTTGAGATTTAATAGATATTTTATCACTTTGAGATTTAGAAACTTTTTAAAATTAAGACTTAAGAGGAATCATTGAAAATCTTAAATTTGAAGGTAGAATTTAAAATGCAATTTCATATAATGTTTTTGTTTATATAATCTCCGCAAATCTTAAAGTCAGCAAATATTAATGTCAGCTAAATACCTTGCAATTTGTTAAAACATTTGAAAATCTCAAATGAATACTCAAAACGGTCAAAAGTCTTAAAAAAATCAAAATAAAATACACCGAGATTTTAAAAGTCCCATCAACTCTTTAAGAATCCCAAATGAATACAAGTACATTAATTCACCATTATATATAAAATCTGGTACTAATCGATGTCAAGAGAAAAAAGAAAATTTGAGAAAAAATGACATAATAGTTGCCTAGATTTTTTGTAGGAGCACTCGGCCACATCCATAACAAAATTGCTTATAGTTTTGGTAAGACGAGCAAAAAATTTTGTCAACAACATGCTAATTCTGTCACTTTTCAACTATGAAAAAACAAAAAAAAAAATGCCAAATCATATTAGTAAAACCAATAGCATTACATGCCATATCCACTATTCGATTTCACCAACTTTGACGCAACTCAAATCTCCAAAGAAGCTAAGTTAAGTTGATCTCTCACACTAAAATAATATATAGTAAACTACAAGAAACGATTTCACCATGCGACCAAAGAGCAACACATCAACAAGATTTTTGTTGGGCTAAATATGGAATCTTCAAAAGGGTCTCTATTCTGTATCAAACCTAATCTTCTTTGGGGCAGCTTGGACGCACCCAACCTGTTCAAAATCACAGGCACACAAGTCAAATTGTTCGGTTAAAAACCCAAATCAACCTTCACATCAAATGCAATCTGATAAAACTCTAAAAAATAATGAGAATGTCAGATAATTCATTTGGATTACCCCTTTAAAAGATTGACCACGAACACATTCATCAAACTCCAGATAATTAATATTCTATCAGAACAAAGTTTCCATGCACAAGCATACAATATAATAGGAATTCAAAAAGAAAGGTAAAATGAAAGATTTTTTTTTTCTTCTTACAATTTCTGGGCACTCATAATCAATACCAGCAGCCTCAATCTGCTTTCGGCGCTTTTTGTCTCTTTGCATTATTCCTGCTATTAATTTCTGCTGCTCTTCCAGAGTCCGTTCCTAAAATCCATAGAATTAACAGGATGCAAATGAAGTGAAAGGAAAAAACAAATGTTAGAATAAAGATTGTAACTTTTATACCTTGTTGTGCCGCTTGCGTTCAATTTGGACCGAGTCCAAGGGTTTGTATCTTCGTGTGACACCTTTCCATCTGAAAATTTCAGATATACAATGATTTAGTTTAAAGTTACCTACAAGAACAATAGACGATATATAGCTTCAGGAAAGAATCCAAACTTCCAAAACATCTTTTATAAAAAGAAATAAAGAGATGAAGAAATGACCCAACCAAAGTATGAACCATAGATATCCAATATTTAATATTTATTTACTAATTACTTGTACCTTTATCAATTGTTATCTTTGCTCTTTCCCATTTAATAGAGAAACACAAAGGGTCTTGGTGTAAAAATAATTGATCATAAATAAACAAGATAAACAATGACTAATAACCTAAAACAGAACCTCCAATCACAAATAATAAATACCTCAACTCGAATTTATCACATCACTTATTAAAGAGGTTCTGTGAGCAAATTCTTTTCGAAGGAGAACTTCTCTAAACTCTCAAGAATAATGGGTTTGAGTGCCAATCAATCTACACTTCCAATGGGTACATGGGATGTAGCAGCATCATTGCAAAATGCATCACTTATTGAATATAAAAAGCAAGTAGAAGAAAATACAACTTCATGATCGTTTGAAGATGTCCTCACAATTTTGGATGAACTCGTTCAGGAGGAACAAGTTGAACTTGTAGCAGATGCTCATACATTAGATAATTATGCATGCATTCTTCAACAACTTTGGCTACCTGCAGACATCAAAGTGTGCATGAGAGAAGGCAAAATATGTGAAGGACCTTCCAAGTGCCAAATATGACCGGAAAGCATTTCAATAAATATAAAGATAAAAGTTTTGTAGTTATTATTTATTATTATCTTTCTTAAAGTAGAAGTGAACAACCTCAGGAGATTCAAATTCAATGAATCCAAAATGCTTCGATTTCCCAGTCTGCCAAGAAAAAAATTGAAGATCAATAAAGAAACTGAGTTAATAAGAGACGAGACATGCCTCCATTATGCACAGAAAATAGAATAATAAATAAAATATACAACGCAGATGCAAGGAAATCAAGGAATTGAAGTTCTGTGAGTATTGAAGTAAAACTTAAACACCACTTCTATATCACGAACGAAAAGCAATAGAAAGCATATGACTTTGCTCATCCACTATTTACAATTCCACAATGTAAGAAGACAAACTTTTAGCAAAGGCCATTATCAGTATTTTGAGTATAACTTTTTGATTTTACAGAATTAAAATTTACTCTATTTCCCAATGGAACAGAGTTTGAAGTTTTGGAGTGTCACTGTTTCCATGATGCTTAGATGAATTTGCAGCTGCCAGATTCAATTAAGAAGTGGTTCTATAATCTCCATGCACTCACAGCATCAAAATCTAGAAATATAGAATCTGACACAATAGATATCCAAAACTGAAGAAAGAATCCAAAGGGTATCACATAGCATTGGATCAAATCTATGTCAAGATAGTGGGGGTTGATGCCATTGAGTAACTTTTGAGAGTTCTAATCCTAAATTTACATTTACAACTGAGAACCTCCTTCCTGAGAATTATTTCGATTAGCTTCCTTTGAAATTGAATACCATTCCTAGAACAGGTTTTTCTTTTCTTTCATTTGTTCTTAGATGGTAAGTTACCAACATATATGCTGCAATAAAAAGGTACTTCTTTTGGATATATCATCTTCTATTGAACCCACAAGACCTAGTCTCATATTTTATTGGCTATGCAGTAGAATCGAACACCATGATTGATTCAGGGATTCTCTAAACACTCAAAGAATGAAGAGTAGCTAAACCAAAAATGCTCAAGTAAAGAACGTACAAAAAGGACAACAAAAGTTAGCAACTTGCATGGGCATGCCCCTTACAAGTGTACAATCCATTATCATCCTTGGTGGACATGCAAGTATAATATTTATTAGTTCAATAATTTGTTCTCAAACATCTATGTAGCTAAACAGCTAAAGTAAGCAGAATATACCTAAATCAAATGAATTCCCATCAGTGGTGCAAAAGGGGCACATCTGCTGATAGGTTAGATTTAAATTTATTCTGATTCATATTTGATTCCAAAAGTCAAAGTCTAAAAAAGTAGCAAGCATCCTAATATGATCATGCTTTTATCAGAGTATCAAACTCAAAAATTAGAAACAAGCCGACAAAATTTTATATACGTCCAATTGTAATTGTAGACAAACAATATATAAACCAACATGGACCTCTCTATACTATATTATAGATGCACAGAGTACCCAACTAACAAATACAATTCACTCTTTCCACTTATTTGTCAGTCCTCATGTAATCTAATTGACATACTCAAGTACAAGGAATATTATTCAGTCCCAACGTAAACAGTAGTATCAATCTTGGTTGAGAATTAAATAAGTAAAAGGAGGTGCAGAATGTTTATTGAAGTACCAACCTTCTTATTCCTCGCAATTCTGAGTCTCCTAATTGTACCAAACTGCTTGAAAAAAGCTGCAAAAGCCAATCAATCAATATAAACAAGGGTGTTGCAAAAGCTAATATCAGTATGTATAATCATGACTTTGCTCAATGCAAAGAATACTGTAAGAATAATGAACACAATGCAAACTTTAGATGGACTCTAGCGGGACAAATAAACCATACCTTCCATTTCATCCTCATAGAAACCATGTGGGATTCTCCCAATATACAAAATTTTTGCTTTACTCTCTCTATCTTCAGTCTTTGGAAGGATCCTTGCTGGGCCACCCTCCAGAGGCTAGTGTTCTCAGTAAAAAATAGAAGTACAAAATTAATTCCCTACTTGTACCTCTTACAGACTCAATAACATCTAAAACTGAAAAGATAAGAACAAAAAAAAAAAACAAAAAAATTATGAATGAATTAATAAATATTAATGAAAGTACCAAGAAATCGGCAGCTGCATCTTCGGAACCGGAAAACTTCGTAGAGGTCTGCTTCAAAGCCTCACGATTGCTTTCTTCTTTGCCTTTGCACCCATTTTCTACAGTTTTTTTTTTCAAAGATACATCATTAGGAAGTGGAAGAGTTGTAGATGTGCGCGGTCCATACTGTAAGAATTTATTCACTTAAGAAGACGATAGTATCGAATAATAGCATGGTTCATATTTCCCGCCCAATTCTCACAACCTATCATGTGCGGAATAGCATGCTACTCTTGTCTTTCACAATAATTAAGACAAAACAATGACAAAATTATCGCTATTACAACCAAATGTGACATTTTTTAAAAGAGAGTTCAAACTGGTATTCTTGAAAATTACCCTACAAAAAATCAGTTTTAGCCTTTTAGGAGGATATGTGTTAAATCGAGGCACAACATGGAAGAGAAAAAAGATGAGAAAATATCAGTTTCTGAAATTCACAGCACAGCACTGCAGCACAACAGCAATTAACAACACAGCAGCAATTCAAATATATTTAAGTTTCATGTCATGAAGATAGTTCTCGTGGTGGACATGAAATTAACAGCACAACCGCAATTCAAATCACAATAGTAATATATTTCAATTATAAGAAATATATTTAAGTTTTTAACATCATCTTAAGTTCTTAACCTCTAACTTTAACATGAACCATTTTTTCACTTTTTTAAAATGTAATTACCATTAGAATCTGAAAGTAGAGTCGAGTCGGAGGCAATGCGTCGAGGCGGAGGCGCGGAGCAGCCGGAGTTTTTGTGTCGGACTTCGGAGGTGAGGACAGGGTATCGAGACGCCGGAGTGCGACAGACGTGAGGATTGAGGAGAGGCGACGGGAGTGAGGACTGAGGCGAGGAGAGTCGACGGGCGTGAGAAGAAAACCGACGGGCGTGAGAGACAGAGAAGTGGGCACTTGCGGCTGCGAGAGAGTAGAGTACAGACCGAAAAATGTAAACCTAATCCCAATTCTTTTTACTTCATATCCTACGGGTCAATTTGGTTGGGTTTTTTGATAGGGCTTCATAGAATTCTTTAGTTTTGGGCCCTGGTTTATAAGTGAGATTATCCACACGTTAATTGTGTTTGGTTGCATTTTGGACATTTAGATATAGACCTAATAAAGGTGAATAAGTTGTTTGGTTGGTTGTTTTTTCAGCCAGAAATTTCATTGAGTATTCTCGATTTTCTCATATTTCCCATTTTGACACCAGAGACAAAAATTGGACGTCGACTAGAAGGAGAAAAACTGACGAAGAAGACGATTCGGACCGCATCAATAAAGCTCGAATTACAGCCCATCGACTTCTCGGCAGAGGAACCTTCGATTACAAACGAAGGAGACAATTCCTAGTCAGATATCTCAATATCAGGCTTCATAAAAGAAAAACAACAGACAAGGTTAGGGTTAATCGAATTACTTTTTTGTCGGAATAGAATTTAATTTCTGCTAAATAGTTTATGGTTACGATTAGTTAATTTGTTCGTTTAGTTCACTTAATTGAGACTTTCCCTATTTTAGAGTTCCTTTCTCTGTTCTCGACATTGACAATTACAGTTGATTATGTTATATGTGTGTATTACAATTCTTATTTTAATTTTTGAAGTATGAGCGCGCATGGTTCAGGAGTTAGAACGTATGAGAATTTTAGGGTTCTGGTTTGTCTTAGAACCTTCGGTTGAGTTAGTTTCTCTTTGTCTATCACATCAGATATTGGGGATTAAAGAAATTTATATATTTTTGTGGAGTGGTTTTAGATGATTTTTCATTTGTCAATCTTTTAATATAAGTTCTGTCATATTTGGTCAGTGTTTGAGAGGTGGTCTTTAGTGGCGAAATGATACAAAGACTGAGCCTACAAGAAGAAAAATAGACATTTTCAGCTATGTGGTATACAGATGTTAATATAGATTTTATATGTCATGACTTGAAGTTAAAAGGTCAGTGAATCCTAATCTAAACAATTTGTAAAATCAATATATGAACGAAGTTATCCTTTATCATGAACCAATTATGTGAAACCTATATATGATTTCTCCTTGGATGTATAATGTCTTGCATATCATGAAATGGGCTTTGCTATTTCTCTGTTACACAATTTCAATCGTTCTTACTTTTTTGTGTTGGAGATGTTTGTCACTCTTTTTTATCAATTGATGTGAAGATAATAATATTCCACCTTGGTGGGACAAAGTTGCAGACCTTTCTCTTTTCCATTTGACATGTGCAACAAGGCTTTGGTTAGTAAGACTCATACTGTGGAATTGTTGTGATGGGAAACTCGTGATTCAACTTCACCTTTCTATGTCTACATTGGCAGGAATGAAACCACATACTCGAAATGATGACATTGCAAAGCTCTTCAGTTCTGACGGTTGGAACGAAAACAAAGAGAACTTCCTCATTGAACAACTTGAACATGATGCTCTTAATATCCCTGTAAGTTCCATTGCAACATTTGATACCTATTTGTGGCTTATCACTGGGCTGCTGATAGAAAAGTTTAGAAAAAAGTATTCCATCCTAATGGTAAAACAAAAAGTCATCAATTTCCGAAGCCAATACAATTCGTTTATAGAGTGGAAACAAATCCCAGGCGTATATCACAATCGAAAGTCTAACAAAGTCTCTGTCGATGGAGTGTATTGGCAATCAATCACTAAGGTTGGTTTGATCCTAAATTGCTTCTGCATTTTTTATTCATTTTTCATCCTAATGGTAACAGGGTTTTGGTAGATTTTTCATTAAACTTTTTTAATTTTTCAGGAAATTATGGAAGAGGTTTTTCAGAACCTATGGGATGAAACATTTTGAAACGACAGACCTATTGTTCAAGACAAAGAATGCAGCTCTTATTCTGTTCCTCCCTGCTAGATTATTTTAGACAGTAGTTTAACTTCATCTTGTTGTTCTTTGGCCACAATTGTTGTGTGGAAATGTAATAGAATTGTAAGGTTTTGAATTAGTATGGAATGGTTGTGGGTTGCTACAATGACCTAATTTTGTAATGATAAAAGTTTGTTCATTTTGCTAGATTGAATATATGAAAATGGATGATAATTTTGTTTGTACTTGGAAATTGTATTTGTACAAACATGGGAGTTATTGAGCAATTGGATGTCAGTATTTCTCATTTGCATTTGGTAGTTCAATGATACATTTGATTGAATCAAGAAATTGATTGGAGAAACAGGAAGTATGCTTGTAAGTTTGGATGAAGTTTTTGGCAGTATGGAGTTTGTTTTAACATTAAATTTTGGTATAAGTTTTCCCACTTTGGAATTTGTTTGGTAAAAAAAAAAGATGTTTTCTGTGGCATTATGAACCAACAACATTCTCCAAATCAAACACAAGTGTTCCATTTGAAAGATTAACACATCAACAAACCCAAATAGTGCCATGTATCAATAGAACAATAGCTCAACAAAAAGTGTTGCACATTACTAGTTCTCGAACAACAACAACTCAACCAAAGTTATTCCATAACATACACATATGATTTAATCTGATATGGGATATCATATGGCTAAAGAACAGACCGGCCCATCACGTCGGACAAACCGGCATAAGTTGGGAGAAAATCGCGAGGGTTGAAGGATGATCGACCAAAGCAGAAGAGATCGAGCAGAATGGCAGGGTTGGTCGAGGATCGACCTGGCGAGGGGGAGCTCGATTATATCGAGCACGTAGCAGGAAGGAGGCAGTCGAGAGCGTGACCTGAACGTGAGTAGGCGCGTGGGCGATATCAAGGGATCCCAACGGCCCACGCAAAGGAATATTTCCCCTCAGCTCAAAAGGGGACACGTGGCGAGAACCTAGTGGTGCAGAGTAATAGTGGCAATAACCACCTCTGACGTCCCTGACATTTCTGACAATACACGTACTGTGTGTGTACGGACGGGCAGCGCGGGGAGGACAGCTCACCAAATATCCGGGCAGCTCTTAAGGCAGGTATCTCACTCCTATATATAGAGGAGTGGGTCTTTTCTTAGGGTTTACGATTTATCCATTCTTTACTTTGGAAAATTGAACAAACATATACTGACTTAAGCATCGAAGGCTCTTCACTGGAAAAAGCCCTCCGGTGTGAGAGTTTTGTGCAGGAGCGCGGCGTTCTATCGGCGAGGAAGAAGGAAGCAAACCGATTTCAAGCCGGTTGGAGTGTTTTGCGTTACCATTTGGCGCCGTCTGTGGGACTTTCGTTCGAAAAGTGGTGTGCTGAGATCTTTGAAACTTGGTAGCTATGGCGGACGGAATTCCTAGGAGAGATTTACAGGCATCGTTCGATGAGGCGTGGACGATGACGAGGCCGTTCGGAGATGGCCCACCGCCGGGCTTCTCTGGACCCTTGCGTACACCGGTGACTCCGACGCCTGTTCCCCAAGGTGTAGAAGTCACGTCGGTGCAGCCAGAGGCTGATGTGGGCTCAAATCGGGCCCAGGAGACCCGCACAGCTCAAGGCGCGGCGGCCCCAACGCCGCCACAACCGGATCTGGCTGCGACGCTGCAGCGAGGAGGGGCGGTACAAGGAGCGGTACCGCTGCCGATGGAGGAACAGCGTCCCGGCCAGCAGGTGGTGATGACGAGGCAGGAGATGCAGCAGATGGTGGCGAATGCGGCGGCACAGGCGGTTCAGCAGGTCACTCAAAGCCTTTCGCGAGTGGCTGCTGGGCCAACGATAGTGGATGAGGACGTGTCGAGCTATGGAGGAGATGGGGGCCCAAGAGATCGCGAGATGGAGAGGCTAAGATGGACGGTCGACCTGAAAGACGTGCTCGAGGACATCCGTTCTTGAGGGATATATTGGCTGCACCATTACCTGCGAATTTCAGAGATATGAGTTTGATGTTCGATGGGACCACTGACCCGTCGAGGCATGTGAGGGCGTTTGAAAATTTGGCTGTGTTGCATGGTTATTCTGACTCGGTTAGCTGCAGGGCATTCTTGTCGACCTTGAGGGGGGGGGCGCTCGATTGGTTCCAGCAACTCCTTCATGGATCGATCAAGGACTTTGATGATTTCGCGGAAAAGCTGATGACCCAGTATGCGAGTGCGGTGGCACAGGAAAAGACGTATCTGACGTTGATGGCTATGAGGCAAGGGGAGAAGGAATCATTGCGTAAGTATGTCGCGCGATACAATCAAACTTGTTTGGAGATCCCCACGGCCTCGGACGAGGTGAAGGCTGGAGGGTTGATACGGAGTTTGCGAGCGGGGCCTTGTCGTACATCTTTAGCTAAAACCCCTGCTCGTACGTATGATGATGTGCTAAAAAGGTGTAAGAAGTACATTAATTTGGAGGAAACGGAGGCTGAGTTTGCTAAGTTGGAAGAGTTGGCTAAGCCTGAGCCAAAGAAGGGGAGGGTAAGCTCGCCTCGAAGAGTATCACCGGGTCGGAGATCGCCTAGAAGAGAGGGGCGTGGCAGGACTGATCGAGGGCGAGAAGACAGGTGGAAGGATCGACCAGTACTGGGGGGAAAGCGGTTCCAACACTTTACGCCCCTTAATGCGCGGATGGGCGAGGTGCTGGTGGCCATTGAGAGGAAGATAGGGGACAGGGATGTGACGTGGCCGAAGTCGAGGCGTGAGGGGCCGACACAGCCCAGGTCGAACAAGTATTGCCGTTTTCATAAAGATTATGGGCACAAAACGGAGGAGTGCAGACACCTCAAGGATGAGATCGAGCGCCTGATCAGGGCAGGGTATCTGAAGGAGTTCGTGTGCGAAGGGAAGGCGAAGGGGAAGGATAAAGGAAAGTGTCGAGAGGATTCGGTGGAGCGGAGTGATCGAGATGATGATGAGGAAGGTGATCCTCGAGATGGAAGGGGTGATCGAGGAGTCAAGAGGAGACGAGGAAGTCAAGATCGAGGAGGCCAGGGAGATCAAGGCCCGGTGAAGAGAGGAACGATTTACATGATCTCGGGGGGACCAACAGATGGGGACTCGAACAATGCAAGGAAAGGTCATGTTCGAGCAATGAAGAGGAAGAGAGAGGAGGTGGGGATCACTGCTCGAATGCCGGAGATAAGTTTCCGGGCGGAAGATGCAGAGGGAGTAGTGTTGCCCCACAATGATGCGCTGGTGATAACGGCGGAAGTGGCAGGTTTCGACGTAAAGAGGGTGTTTATTGATACGGGGAGTCCGGTTGATGTGATGTTTTATGATTGTTTTGTGCAGATGAACAAGGAGCTCAACCTTGACCTGAAGCCGGTGACCACAGCCTTATACGGATTCAACGGAGGCGAGGTGATGCCGATGGGAGAGGTAAGCCTCTCTGTTGCCTTAGGGCAAGGGGTGACAAGGAAGGTGCGAATGGTAAGGTTTGTGGTCGTTGGAGCGGAATCCTCGTACAACATTATTATGGGAAGGACTACCTTAAATGCTTTCCAGGCGGTCGTGTCGACGTACCACATGACGATCAAATATCCGGTGGGGGAAAACATTGGTGAGGTCGCAGGAGATCAGCTTACCTCGAGGAGTTGCTACCAGACCACGGTGAGCAACAATAAGCAGCTCTCAAGGAAGCGAGCGAAGCTGGAGGAGGAAGTACCGAGTCGACCGGGGGGCTCGAGGTCGAAAGAAGAGAAGGAAAGAGCGGACAAGGGGAAAGAAAAGGTCGAGATGCAGCCAGGA